TCGAATACTAAAATTAGAAAATCGAATACTATGATAACTGTTCATACCTCCATGCATAATTAACAAGAGAAAGCATTTATAACTGTTTATCAAAATATCATTTTAGCAATTAGTGAAGTAGCTGGTAATTGTAATTTCATAGTTTTTGTTTTTATTAAAGGGAGTCAACAAACATCACAGGGATAAAACTGACATAGGGGTCCTTTCCTGTCCCTAGTTATGAGACATTCATCCCTAAAAACCATACTATTATGGATTACTTCCTAATACATAATTTCTAAAAACATTCATATATGAAGATCCTTATCAAATATCAAAATACATTTTATTGTTTAATATAACGAAAAAAAAAAAATCTGTTACGTTACATGTAATCCTATTCTTATTCACAAGCAAAGGATCATTTTCAAACTTTAAAAGATTTTGCTCTTTTTGTTTGATATATGATAATAAAATACACATTTCCTGATATGTAAAAGGGAACTTTCAGCAGCAGAGAGGACAGACAAGCTGGTGGGTTTGTGGTTTTTAGGGGTTAGTATAATAAACAAATGACTTTCACGTTTCTTTCTACTTCTGTATTACCAGTCTCCGTAATATGAAAATAGAATGTGTGTGACTTTTGTATTAACCCATTGTCCGGGTGTCAATATATGAGACACAGGGAAAAATAAACAGTTTCGGGCTGCCTGCCAGTGCGATGCTGTCTCGGAGCCGTGCTCCGCGGCAAAAGCGGCGGGCGGCCGGGCGGGCGGACAGACTCCGGGGAAGCTCCGCCCGCCGATTTTGTAGCTTCCCGGATTTTTTAAATTTTGGCTACAAAATGTACCCCGGCGCGGGTGGGTTAATTGCTAACTTTTGGCGTGTGGTGGTACGCAGAATGTTTTTATTCACCATCTTCAATCTCACGGTGTGCACAAAGTTTTTGGAATGAGATTAGATTCAGTGGGCCTATAGGAAAGGACTCTTGCATTATTTCCACAGGTAAAAGTGGGTAAAGTGTACCATCTGTGAGCCATGTCTGCGACAACACCAGCTCCCGGGAAGATTTCCAGGATTTCTTAGTGCAAGAGTCTGTTCCTGACTGCCGTGAAAAGCTGCACAATAAGTATTAAGGAAAATTCAATAATACAAAAACATTTCTAAAATAATATAATGCTACTGATGTATTACAGCGTGATCTCATCATGAAGGTTTTTTGGGAACGGGCTGGGTGACAGGAATGTCTTGCCATGGAAAACCTTGGCTGTATTACAGGGTGATGAGGACATTTCATTATGAAGATTTTTTGGACAAAGGGTGAGTGATGGGAATGTCTTGTCATGGAAAACATTGGCTGAGGGCCGAGGTGACAGGACTACCTCATAAAGAGATGTTGCTGCCAAGTAGTGGCTTATGGGGACATCCCACAGTGAATGCACAAAGATTTTGGAAGGAAATTAGCCTCAATGGGTCTTTAGGAAGGGGCTCTTGCATTATTTCCACTGGTAAATGTTGTAAGCCCGTATCATCTGTGCACTATGACTGGCACAGCCGTAGCTCCAGGGAGGGCTCTATTTCCATGTGCAGGAAATTTAATGATACAAAAATATCTATGAAATAATAATGTTACTAATATTACACTGAGTTGTAGACTGCCTGGATATATAATATGGATTCTGCTCAATAAAAACAGTCATCTAGAAATTTCATAACAAATTATAAAAAGAGACCTTGGTAAAGGGCACTAAACATGTCCTTAGGATATGAGTTAATAGCAATGCAAAGAGCAGGCAAGGAGTCTTGATAAGAGTAGGCATGTCCTACAAGCCACACACCTTGGAGAATCACCACTCAAGTAATCATAATGCTCAAATTTTGGTGTATGTGTAACCAGTTAACCCACTTGCACTGGGTGTCATACATATGTGACACCCAGAATAAGGACCACGACCAGCTGTCCTACCAGTGTGACACTAAATCGGAGCTTGCACTCTGATTTTGTCGCCTAGGCTGGTTCCCAGACTGGCCCAAGCGCCAACTTTGATTCGCCCAGAAATGGGGATTATCAACCACCAAATGGACTGTGGTGGGTGGGTCAATTTGAAATTTTGAAATACTTTTAAAATGATCCCTACACTTCATACATAGCAATCAAAACTTGATAAGGAACACTCAAAGGAAAATACAATACATTCAAAATAATGACTAATTTGTGTGATAGTGATGCCTCTGGTGTACATAAATGCCACTGGCAGTCAATAAGTTAATTACAGTGATTAAGAATAAACAGAGTATAGTAAAACATTAACTCTAGTAGAAGCAAAGGATAATCAAGTTTGAATGATACAGAAGAAAGATGAGGCCACTTGCAAATTAACCCTGTAATATGGTGACTCACCTAATAGCACTTAGGTAGTATTAGGTAGTAAGCAAGAGTTTTTTTTTATTTTCTAACAACCTTCAGTCAAGCAGATGCTTTTTTTCCCCAAATGTGTTCTGGGTGACTTCTCTAGCTTGGAAGGATAGATGGTACTGGGAGATTAATAGTTATCTTTACAAATTAATATTTCTCATATGCGCATCAACTATATAAAAGCAAGAGAAAGTCATTATACAAGAAATGAAGAAAATGTAGTTACTACAATGTTTTCAACTGATAAAAATAGTTTTATTAATTTGATTACTAAATAATCTAGTATGCCGTTAAGTTCTTCCACCTATGTTATTACATGTCTGGGATTAAGAAAGTCTCCTGATGAATGTAAATAATAAATGGGGTAAATACTTTAAATTTACTCTTCCTGGTAGTAATGTCATCTTAACCCACTTACGACGGGTGTCCCACATATGAGACACAAGGGGGGGGGGGGGGAGAGAGAGAGAGAGAGAGAGAGAGAGAGAGAGAGAGAGAGAGAGAGAGAGAGAGAGAGAGAGAGAGAGAGAGAGAGAGAGAGAGAGAGAGAGAGGAGAGAGAGAGAGTGAGAGTGAGTGTGAATGAGTGACAGAGAATTGCCAGGCGTCCCACCAGTGTGATGCTGTATCAGGGCTCGCACTCCGATTCATTTTGTACAAGCCCAGAAACTTTTATTTTTGGCTTCAAGATATACCGGCGTTAGTGGGTTAATATAGTGTTTTACATGATCGAGTATACATTTAATCTAAACTAAATCTAAATCAATGCAGCTACACTACTGATCCATTACAGGTCTAACCATATCATGAATCAAACAACCACTTCCACTCATTCTGAGCAACACGATAGAATTGTCATACCTCCAGCAATATATGATGCAACTTCTTCAGGAGGTCTTCATCATTATCATAACTCTCTGGTAAGGTCTCTGGGAGGTCTTCTTGGTGCCCTACCTGCAGTAGATAAAGTAATTAAGCAATACTTGTTATCTCACTGATATTACAACTTTCAAGAAAGGTCAGTGTCTATTTTCAAATTGATATATATCAAATATATTAGGGTAAATGAAAAACAGAACTGCAAACTTACACACTGCGCTGCAAATATGAGAGCATTCCAGTCCAGCTTGGGTATAGTTCTAGAGATAAATTCCCGGTCAAAATCAATATCCACATTTCTCACTTCCTCAGCCTGTGAACAAAAGAAGGCAACATTAATAAAATATCAACTACTTTCTGTACATGTCTATGTCTATGTATATTTGTGTGTGTGTATATATGCATGCATGTATGTATATGTATATATGTGCATGTATATATATTTATATATGTGTAAGTATATACGTACATATGCATGTATACATATATGTATGTGTATGTATATATGTATATATATGCATGTATATGTATATATGCATTTAAGTGTATATCCGCACAGATATGTATCTGTGAGTGAGGGGGGGGGGGGTGCTACAACATAATACAGCAAACTTATCACTGGCAGAAAGTCACTGATTAATGTGGAAGACCCAAAAGCCAATACACTAAGTAGCCCAAGTTGTAACTGGTACCTGGCAACTCTAACAATGTCTAAAACAAAATTACCCATACACTGCAAAACTGAAGCTAAATTCTACACATATTGACTCATGTCAGTCCCTAGATACCAGGTCAAAATACGCATATTTCATATTTACTATTTGTCTGGTCACTTGCATGGCACATAAATTTGATACTGTAGTCACAAACTTTTCTGGAATATTTCATGCCACTACAATCATGATCTATATCATCACAATCTAAAGAAATAATCAAAGAAGGGATCAGAGTGGTGCAGTGTTGAGCAATTATTTCCTGGCACATCTAGCAAATGTCAACAAACCCTGACTCTGTATATCATGGCAAGATGGAGCTTCTAGTCCTATCTGGCAATTTAACGTCAATTGAAGAAATAGCTCTAACTTGCGAGCCCTTATGTGGTAAAGATTAACCTCAACCATTACTTGATATCTTCTACTTATGAAACTATGATTAGACTCGTTCCCCCAAAGATGAACTTCATAGAATGGGTATACAATTCATAATTTGTAAAATTTATCATCAACTATCTGTCAGTCTTTCAATAACACATACTTTATCATTAGAGAAGCAAAGCTCTTCTACAGAATCCCATTACTGCTAACATGAATGGCGTAAAGAAACATGACAATGGTTAATGGTTACAAAGCAAAATAAATGTGTTAATCATCAAAGGTCAAATAGCACTATAGAAAGATGTAGTAGTGAAAAGGGTAAGAGGGAGAGAATTCAAGGAAGGGGGGGGGGGTGACAGAGAGTTACCTGTGTAAGCTGGGGGAAGCAGAAGGGATAAGGGGCAAGTAGGGGGGGATGATGCAGATGAAACAGGAGAGTTGGGAGTAAGAGAAAAACCTAGTCAACGTGCTTCCTGTCTGGCCTCACATAAAGTGAAGCCATGTTTGAATCCGAAAATAGTCACCAGAGACTCAAACTTGTATGTAGGGCAGCCCCCATAAAATACATTATGGGAACCACCACAGTTGGCACATTTCGTTACAGTGCAGAGCAGTTTGATTAAGCATGACATGGTTGGGCACATAGAGGACATCAGGCTGCCAAGCAGCAGAGTTTGGCAGGGCAACAATTAGTATGACAGGGGGAGATTGATATGGTTGGAGAATGAGGGACTCTGTGCCACCAATATGAACATCTTGGGGAGGTTATGTCTATGGAAAGTAATCTTGGCAATATTGATGGAGCACTTGCGGTGGCCCATTTGAGGAATGGTTTAGCATTGTACTGATATTGTATCATAGTCCACAAGGCAGGTGAGTAAGTCTTCTCCACAATCTGACCAATACTTTTCATAGACAGGCCTGTTTGTTGGGGAGATGGAGACAGTGTCCGTACAAGTAGTAAGGGTAGGATAAGGTTGGGCAAGAATGGGCTTTCCAGTAGAGTCAGTCAGGACTGATATTTCCTTAACTTGGGATTAGGATGTAACTATGACAAGGTGGGAACATTCAGAAGGGCTGCAGAAGGATACTTTGCCTATTTGTTTTTGGAGATATTGCTGAAAGAGGAGAGTTTAGTCAGAGTAAGGGTCTATAGAGAGGATCACAAAAAATATGTCATATTTGGCTGGACTAAAAAGAGTATTCAAAATGTGGGGGTAGCAGAAGGACAGGAACATGTGAAAGTGAAAGTAGTTTTGAAAGATGTAGTACGGTGGATAGGTGACACTAAAGGTGCAGTAATAATAAGGGAAAAGGGGGTAGTAGATTTAGAGAGCTGTGAGGGTGGTGGAGATGAAGTAGAGGATGTTAGGAGAGGAGGAAAGATTTCTGGAGGTTGATTAATGACCTGGGTGGATGATTTGGACTGGACTGAGATGATATTAACCATTCGTCCCGGGTCACATATATGAGACACTGATGCGATGCTGTCTCGGGGCTGCACTCCGAGGCTGCGCGGCCGGGCGGGCGGACAGACTCCGGGGAAGCTCGACCGCGATTTTGTAGGCCCGGATTTTTTAAATTTTGGCTACAAATGTGGCGTGACTGGGACCTGGGTGGATGACTTGGACTGGACTGAGATGATAGTAGGCATTGAGGAGAGGGTAGTAGTGGCAGTGTCCAGGGTCATGGTCAAAGGAGAGCCTTGGGTCAGGGAATCAGGATAATTAAAGTGAGTGCTTGTTACTAAAGGGGCAAACAGCATTGCCCTTAACCCATTCGTCCCGGGTGTCACATATATGAGACACAGGGAAAAATAAACAGTTTCGGGCTGCCCGCAGTGCGATGCTGTTCGGAGCCGTGCTCCGCGGCAAAAGCGGCGGGGCCGGACACTCTGGGGAAGCTCCGCCCGCCGATTTTGTAGCTTCCCGGATTTTTTTAATTTTGGCTACAAAATGTACCCTGTCGCGGGTGGGTTAATATGAATACAATTATACCAGGAAATACCATGCCCATGGCTACCATAGACTGTTCATGACTAGCACAGAGACAACCTTTCGTCCTTGCAGCACAGGTTTCAGAGCTTAGGAAATGGATTGTAAAAGGGGTGGAAGAAAAGAAGAAAATGGAACAGGGAAAAAGAAAAGACCAATAAGTCCAAATCCCCATGAAAACAATGGGCAAAGGAGTGGGGGGTTACAGTTTCAACCTCCCACACCCATGTAGTACAGATTAAAATTTGCCTGTAATAAACACAATGACCAAAAATATGGCACTTTTCATCCATGGTATTGTCTTCACATAATAAGAAAGCTGTGCAACACAATCTTTTGGTATACATTAACAGGAAAATGTAATGGCACTAAAATAATCCAAAAAAAAAACAACTGAGACATAAAAAAGGTTATTTGTGCATGTACTGCGCATCATTTGGTAAATTACGCAATATTATGTTCCATTTCGTGTATAACATTCCATTTCGTGATATGGAGTTCCATTACGTGTTCTCCCTACAGCGCAATTAGGTGGTGGGGTTCTGCATCATAATTTGGATATAGCAGCGAGTGATATGAATCCCTCAATATCAAAACCACCTTGGTCAGTTATTCAAAGGTATTCCAAAATATTACCGGAGACTACAGAGATCAGATGTGGGTCTGGGATCTTGTACTACATGGCTGTGGGAAAAGTATACAATAAGAATAATAATTGCAAGAATTGATGGTTGTGTGCAACTGGAAAATACCAACATGTCAAGCAATTCATTCGTATTAATATTAGATGAACATTATCAATGACAATAAATACATTTTATGATTGATAAAGTGTGTGGATGAAGAAATATGTCTAGTATGCATGTAATATAACACTAATTCATTATACACTATCAGAGAAGCAACATTTAACAAGAAATAAAAGTAAGCACATAAATAAATATATAGCAATGAAAGTAAATTAATTAATCAGTCCATTATTTCAAAAATACACAAGAATGTTACCTGTATCTTTAGCGGAAATCCCTCCTTTACGTTCTTTATACCTTTACTAGTCAACATATTATGCGTAATGAGCTTCATTCTTCTAATAACTGTGAGTAAAATCTTAAAAACAAGGGAAATATAACAACAACGTGAAATATAGTGTAGTATGGCCTACACATGTAACTTTTCGATCTCGAGCAGAAGGATCGAGACTTGTCCTTAGATCAGGGTTACGGAAGAGAGATTTTTCACATAAAATCTATTTCATGCCTTGATATTTTCTCTAGACGTGATATCTGTGAAAATTTAAAAGTATGTGAATTGTGTTTTTATGTTTGTTTATATTCATAGGTTCAGACTGATTTAATGTATAGTATTGGAGTTTACATGTTGGGATACTGATTTATGGAATGATTCCAGAATTCATATATATTTTTCAGTTTTGTATTTGTCAAAAATGCTCTTGCAGGAACCCACGATTGCTTTCCTTGCATGTCAACATCAAACGTAACTTTTTGGATATTGTATAAATTTTCTTTTCAGTATTCTTTTCATTTATACTTTTTCAAGATACAAAACATTTTGTATGTTGGAATCGTTTTTGAATACTTTCAGTTTTATTGCATTTCCCCTTTCCATTCCGTGAAACATTGAATACATAATAAAGACAACTTTTATTTTCCGTCATCAACACATTAATTCAGTATAACACAGGTTAACTTCTAAGTTTCAAATGTCAGTTCCTTTTGGAACTACGGATATTTCGTTTTTATTCTTCCAGTAATGAACACTTCTTTTTGGGTGAAGGAAAATAAGATAGATAAGATAAGATAGTGAATTTCTGGTGTAAATAATCAATTAACAAAAATCTATTTCATTTGTTGACAGGCTTCTCGCCTCTTTCATTTCCAATCATATTTATTGGTCCTTCCTTCTGTTGATGCAATAATTAGCCGAGAGTTAGCCGCTTTTCCGTAGTAGCATCTCTGTCGTTCTCTACACATTAGATAATGAAGAAAACGGATATGAATAATAAAATGGAACTTTCATTTGCATCAAATCATCTGTAGTCATTAAAAAAAAAAAAGAAATAACTAAAATACAGCCTACGAAAAAAAATCCGGTGACGTCACCATCCGTCTTTTGTCTTTTGTTTCCGTTTAACAGACGAATTTCCGTAGAATGGCCTGTATAATTAGCCGTCTTTTAAAGACTACTGAAAGTCCACCGCGTTTGGAGTTAGGCTGCCGTCATTGACGTCATTATTCGCCATAAATCTGATTGGTTGCTGAAAACACTGCAAGGCATAGAGCGAGTTCGGGGAAACCATCGCTCACCTCATTTCACAAAGTATGCTGAAATATCAACAAAAACAAATCAGCATGGCTGTCCCCTCAAGACTTGTCCAGACTGACTGACTGACTGACTGACTCTCTCTCTCTCTCTCTCTCTCTCTCTCACTCACTCACTCACTCACTCACCACACACACACACACACACACACACACACACACACACACACACACACACACACACACACACACACACACACACACACACACACTTCCCCAAGATTTAATTTATTAGCCATGGCTGGTATGGAACATTTGTATCTGCTTTGCTTTTCCATGGATTCTTCGACTTCATAAGGCTGGCGCGCGCGCGAGCTGGGTCGCGGCGCCTACGGGGTCGCGACGCTGCTCTCGAGTATATACATAGTTTAACACAGTATTTCACAATAGCTTCTCATATTCATTATACAGGCAAGACCTTTCTTATAAAAAGCTGTTTCACATCCATCACCGGTGTGACGCACTGGTCATTCTAGAGCACTGGTGGTTGAACATGTATCAATGAGATATTGTGTGAGGGAAAAATATAAACATTTATTTAGAAATTCGTTCATATTTTATTTCGAGTGAGGGGGTACAAGAAAAACCAGTCATGCACAATCTGCATCTATAAAATCGATTTTTGTATGATTCATTTTAGAATCAGTAGCCTGCTTGGACAATTTTTGTGTCAGGCAAAAGAGGACATACCCCAGGCTAGTGAAATCTGCTGTCTAGTTTTAGAAAAAGGGGATTTTGATGGTTAAACATTTTTTAAGGTAATGCATTAAAAGTTTAAAGTCAACATCTGATTTTTTTTTTTTTTTTGTATAAGCTTATTATGTAAGTGTACCTCAGTGTTCTGTTAGATGGTATACAGGATTACAAAATTCCAGCTGTGTGAGCTCACTTACCATAATCATGCATTCTTTTACAACTGATAATATATATATATATATATATATATATATATATATATATATATATATATATATATATATATATATATATATATATATATATATTATATTATACTTGGGCTAGAATAGAGAAATGTGGAGATTTTTTTTTTTTCATTTACAAATAGACGTAAATTAATTTTAAATTCTGCCCGTCACGCTCCTGAGCACTCGGTTGAAACTGCCTATCAGCTCTCATGCCCACGTGTATGTCATAAGTTTTGCACCAGATAAAAAACAGAACATAACAAGCCGTTTAATTTTTCGAAATTAATTCCCTGATGCACAAGAACAGGACAGATCTTCGAGAACAGTCAAATCGTACGTCACTAGTTTGTATCCAGGTTTCTTGTAAAGAATTGGAATCTTTTCCTCGCGCTTGGCTGAGGAGACACATCGCTTACCCGTGCCTTGGCAGTGGCTGTTTTCATCACACTTGTATATTCCTACAAGCTCGGGTTCAAACTCCTCTTCACGGAGAAAGTGGTCTTTTGGGAGAAATATCTTGGTAGAATAATTTTGTAATTTAGGTTCGCACACAACTGAGTTAATTCTATCTATGTTCTTTTGGAATTGAATAAAATCTTCTTCGTTTGTAGGACGTTCAAGTGAAACTTTTGCAGTGATTGTATTAGTTTCGTAAGCATTAGTACTGTAGTTTTGAATAGTAGTGTTGGTCTCATCGGCATTAGTACTGTAGTTTTGAGCAGTTGTATTGGAATCCGTGTTCAGTCTCGCATGGCATGTTGGTTCACGTTTACGAACAATTTGCCACACGCCAAGTGGGATTACGACTGATAACACTAATAAAATGGTGATTAATGATGCAATCCAGATTTTCGTGGTGGCTCGAACAGGTTGTTCAGTGCCATTCGTCTCTACAACTTCGTAAAACATTGGATCACTTTCTGGTATATTTTCGTTTAATCTTATACCTCCCTCGGCATTAACAATTTGTCTGGTTGAATACATAATTTTCTTGTTCCGCAAAGTTTCTTGTTGGCAAACGCTTAGAAGTTCCGAGGATGTTGCAGCAAACGTTTAGAAGAACGTTGACGGTGGTAGCTAGCAGGAGACTGAAAGTGAGGGGGGAAATGTACCCTTTTATATTGATACCGATATGAAGCTCCGCCTCCTTAAAATAGCTTTCAGGCATCACAAGAACGTTTTAGACGAACTTTTTAGGTAGTCTGGGTGATATGAAGGAAAATTATTTAGGCTGTAGGCAATGTTACGACGATTTTCTTGAAAGTCTGAATATTTACTGCTTTGAATACAAATTTGTTACACGAAAGAAAGTTATTGCAAAATAGGCGACCTTGCAATGTCTAGGAGAACAGACGGTGCTCGGCTGATAACACTGATAAGCGGTTTCTCGAACATTCTCAAGGAGTAAGATTCCATCGTCAACTCGAAAGTTCTAGAAGAGCAAAATTCGTGATTCATATGTCTTAAATCGTTTTAGTTCGTTATGGATTTACGTTATACGTTAGGATTACGATCCACGCAGTGAAGCCTTTCAGATGCTAGTGTTATTCTTTATTCGGGTTCATCTGATTAGGGATAGATAGCGATTTGTCGTTATGTTTGCTACGTAATTTCCGCCAAGGAATGACGACACATCCTGCTACCCAGTAAGTAATATTCCCGTTTTATGTAGGCCTCTGATGTAGTTTACTTTGCACTGTAATGAATAAGGAAAGTGTTTTTCAGGTATATAATGAAAGGGTTTCTATAATATGTGAGATATTTTAATGTAAACAAAATGCGGAATGTTGCCCTGCTTTAGGGGATGATAATGGCACCCCGGTTCATTTTGAAAACGTGACAGAGAAGGTTCCCGAATATTCCAGCCTTCATGCAATCTCCATAGTATCACACACACACGCACGTACACCCCCCCCCCCCACCGACATACATTGGCCATATTACACACAAACGTGCGTGCCTATATTATTTTCTGAATCTCATTCTACTTCTAAGACAGACAGCACATGGCAAAATACGGTATATTTGTCACACTGATCGGGCTAGATTGCAGTTAGATATATCCAAAATCTTGAATGAATAATACTATTCGTCACATGACGCAATACTGTCATCTGGTGCCCCTGGACATCCTCGTAGGTACATATATATGTGTATATATTATATATATGAATATTATATATATGTATATACACACAAATGTATATATAGATAAATAAATAGATGTAGATGTGTGTGTGTGTGTGTGTGTGTGTGTGTGTGTGTGTGTGTGTGTGTGTGTGTGTGTGTGTGTGTGTGTGTGTGTGTGTGTGTGTGTGTGTGTGTGTGTGTGTGTGCGCGTATGTGAAACTTATACATGTCGAAAACGTTTGGTATAGGTGTCGGCAAGGATTGCGTCACGATTAGTTCGTAATGATTATTAAAATATCGCAAAAGAATAGCAATTGTGCACACGATTTTTGTAAATTTTGCATAAAACAAACAATATAACATTCAGATTTTGATAACTTTGAGACTAAGTATTGAGAATACATATTTCTTGAACATATGTCTAGAAAAAAACAATCCAATCTGTGGCGCAACGGGTTAAGATAAAGCCAGTCGCTGCGTGATATCCACCCGAGGCAGACGTATCAGTCAAGCTTTGCCGTTCTTACTTGGCTGAAATCTTCTCACCGGCAAGAACTAACTGAAACCTGAGTGCACAGTTGGAACAAAATGGCAGAAAAAGTGGCACTTTGTGATCCGGAAAATAACAGCGGACAAGAAACGCAGGGCAGCAGCTGGAAAATGCAACAGAAGATATTGTGCTGTCTTGGAGGTGTCGCGGCGATATCCGTAATTATTATTATACCGCTGGTCATGTGCCTTAATCACAAAACATGCGAGGAACAAGTAAATGGATATACGTGTAATGAATATAATACATCTACTCAAAACGACAGCATTATCGAAAATAAAAAGAATATAAGCATCGGAGAAATCGTTTCTGTGAATCCTAGAACTGACGAGGATAACAGACGACAAGAAGAATTATTGTCTGAACTCATGTCCATGGGATGCGAACCCAAGGAGCTACATTTTAAGGTTTCGGATCTTCTACCAAAGGACAGCCAACTGCACGACTTGAATTACGAACCCCAGTACGTGGTCCTGAAGAAATGCCTTCCAGAGGGTAGCTTCTGTCAACAGACGAATGCGGAGTGTCTTCCTTCAGCCGTGCAAGTTAAATGGATTCCACTGTTTGTCCAGTCAGATGAAGCCGGATTTCTGACGTATCATCTGGAAGTGCCTGAAGACCAGTCCTGTGAATGCGTGATGCAGAGCGAACTACGAAGAATTTTAAATATTTAAATTGCTTTACTTTATGTCAACCGAAATAAAATTAAAAACAAGAATCAGTTATCTTTCAGTGTCCTTTATCTCCACAGAACACGTGTGATCTTTGTCACAATGATCAAGATTACCTGTTTAGAATTCTCGAACACTTATTATTCCATACTGATTAATTATTATGTGGCGATATACTCTGGCCAATCTTTTCTCTGGTTAAAACACACACTAACCACTAAATAACATCAGGTGTCTGCTGTTTCGTACAAATACTTAAGACAAATACCATTTCTCAACTTTGTTATCATGTATATATAGCATTTTGTTTATCGCAATAGGCACACACACATACACACACACACGTGCCCATACATACATACATACATATATATATATATATATATATATATATATATATATATATATATATATATATATACACACACACAACACACACACACACACACACACACACCACACACTATATATATATATATATATATATATATATATATATATATATATATATATATATATATATATGTATGTATGTATGTATGTATGTACACATATCCATACATATATATATGTATATACATGTATATATATTCATATATACACACACAAATAATAATATATATATATATATAATATATATATATATATATATATATATATATATATAATATATTCACACATGCACACATTTCGCAGTCAATGTATCTATCTATCTTTTCATCTATGTAACATTCTGGCTGCCTACTCTATCTTTGGTTTGAATGAAATTCTTTACAGCTGGACTTTCCTATGCGTCATAAAGCATGGTTCACACATGGGTTAGACTTCTGATTTTCTTATCTGGTCTTTCCCTATCTGAGATTCGTCTTATTGGTAGGCATATGATTGATAAGAATTGAATGTTCAATTATTATGATTATTGTTTAACAGTGCAAGATAAGGAACGTATGGTGTTTTTTTTTCACTGTGTAAAGTATTTTGTTCATGTACGTGTATATTCATATATATGTACTAGTCTATGTGCTATATATTGCGCGATACAGCATATTCAGAATACGAAAGGAATGCATGAGGATGAGCTAATAATGAGTAAGTATGGACAACCCCCCCCCCAAGCAAATTAAGCATTATTCAAAAATACACATCGACGATATTACACATATCATTTTTTTCTTCTTATTCATTTTCTTTTGTATCTTTATAATAAGTAAGCTTTTGCCGTAAACAAAATGGTCAAGCACATGACTTTTTCCTCATTATGAAAGGTATTACGGTGACATCAGTTGATAACAGATAACATACAACTTCGCTATGGCCAAACGTGTCTAAACATGAAAATCGCATTTATCACAAGAAAAAACATGATCTTCACTATTAAGGAAAAACAATTAAGTCGACGGAAATTCACAGAATAAACAATGGCAACTTATCAATCAAATCTCTCTATGGCCATACTTGTCTCAACACGTATCCTTAGTACATGAATGAGATAAACATGACGACACTTGATCTTGGGTAAATCAGCGATCCAATTCCCATCTAAAATAAACAATAGTGCAGATGAGAACCAGAACATCGTTGAGAAATTGTGTGTGTGTGTGTGTGATTAATTATTCATCAGTTATTATTATCATTTAGTTATGCACGCACTTAATCATTCATCAGATCTTGCTATTCCTAATCGTGTCTAAACATGTATCGATCACATGAATCATCTAAGCGGAAACACGATTGGACTTGTTCTTTATTCAGGAAAAAAGTTTGCTCGAGATAAACTCACGAAATTAATTAAAGCTAAATGAAAGTAACACCTGATGTTAAAGATAGTGCAGTGAGAACCAGAATAATCTTGCGAAATATTTAGTAAGACAGCAATATCTGTTGATCTTTCTGTCTATCTGTCTATCAACATATGTATCTCTCGATATGTATGCATATACCTATATCTATTTATGTCAACCCATCTCTAGCTATTCATCTACACACACACAAACACACACGTATATATATATATATATATATATATATATATATATATATATATAATATATATATATATATATATATATATATATATATATATATATATATATATATATATATATATATATATATTATATATATATATATATATATATATATATATATATATATATATATATATATATGTATATGTATGTATATGTATATATATATACATACTATATATATATATATATATATATATATATATATATATATATATATTATATATATCACTCTATCTCTCAATCTGTCTACTCATTCATCTATATACCCACCTACCTATTTATCGTTCCATCTATTTATCTATCTATCTTTACATAGAAATATATAACGTATATCTATCTATCTGTCTAACTGCCTTTCTACTTATCTATCTATCTATCTATCTATCTATCTATCCATCTGCCTATCACCCACTCGACCAGTTAATTAGTCAATCAACGAAAACACATTTACTGTAGGAAACGTATGAATCTTCTTAATTAGAGGCACTGACCAGGATGTGTAGAAATAGGTATCTGGCAACCTACCCAAGAAGAGAGCGAAATATATCCATTTAAGGATAAAAGACATGCATTTGATCGACAAAATGTTTTCAGTTCGTCGTATCTCCGCATGTCTGTTTGACTTTCTCTCTCTTTCTTTTTCCCTCCCTTCTTCCCTCTTTCGGTTTCCGTCTCTCTGGCTGTCTGCCTTTCTCTCTCTTTCTGTCTGTCTGTCTGTGTCTCTCTTTCTCCCTCCCCTCCTCCCCCCGCCTCTCTCTCTCTCTCTCTCTCTCTCTCTCTCTCTCTCTCTCTCTCTCTCCTCTCTCTCTCTCTCTCTCTCTCTCTCTCTCTCTCTCTCTCTCTCTCTCTCTCTCTCTCTCTCTCTCTCTCTCTCTCTCTCTCCCCCCTCTCTCTCTCTTTCTGTCTAGTATTCTCTCTCTCTCTCTCTCTCTCTCTCTCTCTCTCTCTCTCTCTCTCTCTCTCTCTCTCTCTCTCTCTCTCTCCTCTCTCTCTTCTTTTAATTTTTATTCCATATGGTACATAGTCTGCAAAATTATATTCTACTGATGCTAAAATTTCCTATTAAAGGTAAAACTATCTATAGCTTAAAACAGAGATTAAAAATCAATTCTGATAAAAGAGAAGCTGGTCAAACTGCTCTGCTTTTTGATAAAAGAGAGCAGGTCAAAAACTCTCTCTCTCTTCTCTCTCTCTCTCTCTCTCTCTCTCTCTCTCTCTCTCTCTCTCTCTCTCTCTCTCTCTCTCACTCTCTCCTCTCTCTTTCTCTCTCTCTATCTTGTCTATCTCTCTAGGAATTCTCCTCTCTCCTCTCTCGCTTCTTTTCGGTCTCCCATCTCTCTCCTCTTTCTCGCTCTCATGGTAAAAGACATGCATCGACAAAATGTTTTCTGTTCTCGTATCTCTCTGTTTGACTTTTCTCTGTTTTCCCTCTTCTCCCTCTCTCGTCTCTCTGGCTGTCTAAATCTCCTCTTCTCTCTCTGCTCCCTCTCTCTCTCTCTCTCTCTCTCTCTCTCTCTCTCTCTCTCTCTCTCTCTCTCTCTCTCTCTCTCTTTCTCTCTCTCTCTCTCTGCCTCCAGTATTCTCTCTCTCTCTCTCTCTCTCTCTCTCTCTCTCTCTCTCTCTCTCTCTCTCTCTCTCTCTCTCCTCTCTCTTCTCTCTCTCTATTTTTTTTTTTTTCCATTCTGGACATAGTCTGCAAAATTATATTCTACTTCTAAATTTCTTTTAGGTAAAACTATCTAGCTTAAACTTAAAAATCATTCATAAAAGAAGCTTCTCTCAAACTATCTCTCTCTCTCTTCTCTCTCTCTCGCTCTCTCTCTCTCTCTCTCCAGTATTCTCTCTCTCCCCTCTCTCTCTCTCTCTCCTATTCTCTCTCTCTCTCTCTCACTCCCTCGCCCCCCCCCCCTCTCCCTCTTTTCTCTTTTTCCCTCCTTACCCCTTCCTCTCACTCACTACCCTTTGTTACGTATTTACGAATATGTTTTGTCGTACGTTCTTGCCTCCCTCCCCTCCCTCCCCCTACTCTTTCTTTGCTTCCCTACTTGTTTTTAGTCCGTAAGATCATACATGGTTGGGTTAAACCAAATAATTGATTATTCATGTTATTATTACTATTCAGTTATGCATGCAGTTAATCATTCACCGTATCTTGTTATTCCCATACGTGTCTGAACCTGTCTCCTTATCACATGAAAAAGTTTGCTCGAGATGAATACACGAATTCAAGGTACATCGTTGGTGAAATTGGCATCGAGAATTATAAATAGTGCAAATGTGAACCAGAATATTGTTGCGAAACTTTGTAGTATCTGTTTTCTGTCTGGCTATCAACGTATGTATCGCTCGATATATATATATACCTTTATCTATTTATCTGTTAACCTATTTCCATCTATTCATCTATATATATTTGTCTATCACTCTCTTTATCCATCTATCTAGCTATCTCTATACATACATATATACTGTATGTATATTTATATGTCTGTC